ATTGTGAATGGTAAAGCTTTGGCTCCAAGTCGCATTTGATGCCTCACGCGCCTTTCCAAAACAGCACCTATGAACAAGCTGGGCTAGCACCCATCATTCACAGCCAAAGAGGCTTCTGTTCTGCGGTACAATCCCCGCCTCGTCGCATTCGCCACGGCGAACCTGGCAGGGTCCGGGTCCGGCCACTTCGGGCAAAACCCCCCGTGGCACCTGCTGGCACCTTCTATGGTGAACTGCCATTCAAAGAGACATACCCTCATAGATTAAAGACTTTAAGGAACCTACTAGCAGTGGCCTCCAACCTACTAGCAGTGGCCTCCCTAGTAGCGATGGCCTCCACCCTACTAGCAATAGCCTCCAACCTACTAGCTTCACCCGTGGCACTTGCTGGCACCTTCTTCCTGAAATGGTAAACTACCATTCAAAAAGAAATTCGTCCAAGCGCCAAAAGCGTCAGTCCGAACCCGGAACTGTGCTGAAGATCTGGGGATCTGCATTGAAACATTCTGAGACTGCAGGGCTCCCTCCTGTCACCGCAGGGTTTTCGTCCTCTCTTCTCACATGAAGCGAAATGAAAAAACATGGTCCCAATAGGCCAGCAAAGGGAATGTGTTGGATCCAACACTTCTACATGCTCACATTGCTTCACACTTCCCTTTGTCCACCAACTCCAGTTTGGGAGAAAAGAAGGCTCTAAACCCCAAAACTACTAGGAACAAGGACGCTATTAGGGCTCCTGGCCTTACTACTAGGAACAAGGACGCTAGTAGGAACAAGTGCATCGCTACTAGTAACAAGTGCCTTACTAGTAGTAACAAGAAGCTATTAGTAACAAGTGCCTTACTAGTAGTATCAAGGACGCTAGTAGGAAATGTTGCGCCTTCGCCGGCGGCTCGGTGTAGGGCACCAGGGCCCCACTCATCGGCACAGAGCCGACGGAGCTGAAGCAATCGCCCTCGAGTCGTCGAACCAAACCCAAGGATGCCACATGTCACCTACGTGCGTGTGGCCTCCAGCCTAATAGCGAAAGGAATAAACGACCAAAAACATGGCAACAAACCATCGGATTTTTGTTGGGATTCGGCGGATTCAGATTTGCTCTTTCATGGTTCGGGTGAGCTTCTTTCGTGGAGGTTCTCCACTGGGCAATGCAACAGGTACATCAGTTGGAAACTTCAAAACGACTCTGAAAATCACTAGGAGCAAAGGGCATCGCTACTAGGAGCGACGCTACTAGGGGCAATTGGCCTTACTACTAGGAGCAAGAATTGGAGGCCGCTAGTGGCTGGTGTCACTTGGAGCCTCTGAGTTACTCGGATGTCCTCATGGATTGGACCAACGGCAGGGGCAGCTTCTTGTGCAGCCTTTTGCGCAGCCTTGTGCTTGAGATTATAGTGAGGGTGACCTCTACATTTTGTGAACGTTAGAAGGTCTAAAATGGAAATTGCTAAGAGGCCCAGGTCAAGTGAGAAATGGATTCGTTGAGACTGGCTTTCGCAATCAGCAGCGGTTTACGGCAGGGGCGGGCAAGCCATTTTCCGAAAAAAGGAATAACACACAAAAGGCATTACTACTAGTAACAAGAAGCTACTAGGGGCTCCTGGCATCGCTACTAGGAGCATTCTAACTACTAGTAACAAGAAGAGACACAAACAGGTGAGAATCTCCGGAACTATTCCTGGCGTCTGCATCCACCTGGAATGACCTGGAACGTCGTCTTTCTTCACTCGGCCCAGTGGCGTGGCCCTGCCACGCGTCCAACCGCTCTGCCGAGCGCTGTGGGCGCCTAGCGGGATGGCGGGTTGGGATGGAACCGGTCCATAGAGTAGCCTTGGAAATCATAAATCCGGTGTGTGGAGGCCATCGCTATTAGAAACAAAGAAAAAAGAAAAGGAAGAGAGAGTCTAGTAGCTTCTTGTTCCTAATAGCTTCTTGCTCCTAGTAGTACGGCCAGGAGCCCCTAGTAGCATCCTTGCTCCTAGTAGCGATGCCAGGAGCCCCTAGTTGCTATTCGGTCTGAAGTCCGATGTGCGGAGTACAAAGGTGTGAAATATGATGGTCGACATGTGAGACAGATGCGTAGATGCGCTGGGGGAAGTGTCAGTTGCCTCAGTTGCAAGTCCTGCCAAAGGTTTGAATTGGCAACAACAAACTTTCATCCAGCATTTGGCTCTCGACTCTCACGACTCTCTCTCTCTCTTTTTTTAAAGAAAAGAGGAGCTCTGTGACCAGAAGTCGCCCTTTTCATCACTTCTGCACTTTCCCGCTCCGCCCTTCACTTCTCCCTGCTTCTCCTCTGAGTGCTCATCAAAAAGGCACTCATCGCGCCCACCAAGGCACCGGTGGAGACACCCGCGATCAACAACGCCACCTCCAACCCAGAACGCGCCGAACGCGTCGAACGCGCGGTGTAAACGTGCGTGTGGACTTCAACCTAATAGCGTCCTTGCTCCTAGTAGCGATGCCCTTTGTTACTAGTAGCTTCTTGCTCCTAGTAGTACGGCCAGGAGCCCCTAGTAGCTTCTTGCTCCTAGTAGCGATGCCCTTTGTTACTAGTAGCGTCCTCTTGTTCCTAGTAGTACGGCCAGGAGCCCCTAGTAGCTTCTTGCTCCTAGTAGCGATGCCCTTTGTTACTAGTAGCGTCCTCTTGTTCCTAATAGCAATGGCCTCCAACCTAATAGCGAACTCATGGACCTGGGAGGACAACACTGGGAATGGAGTCTGGGAACCGGCGTTGCTCGAGAGGTTCGAGATGTGCACATCCCTTCAGGACAGTGGCCTCCATGGGCAGCACAGCACACACTGACCGAGGAACACAGGCGATTGAGCAGCTGATGCTGAAACGACACGGGTTGTTGTTTTGTAGCTGATACTCATCCACTTCGTTCAATATGGCTATACTACAGCTTTTGAACCAGAAAGAATCCCTTAGAGATGTCACATCCATTGCAGGGAAATCCAGATGCACTTCCACAGATTGAGCAAAGGTCAACGAGCCCATGAGGAGACGCAAACTCATTTTGACATGGAGGCCATCACTAGTAGAAACAAAGAAAAGATAAAAGAAAGAAAGGTCTAAAACAAAGATGCTACTAGGAGCAAGGGCGCTACTAAGTAACTAGGGCTCCTGGCCTTACTACTAGGAGCAAGAACGCTACTAGGGGCTCCTGGCCTTACTACTAGGAGCGTGTTTGCTATTAGCATCGTTCGTCTCACACCTTTGCCCTTCAGGGTCCGTGGTGCTTTGGATCGTAGTGACTGCAACTTCATGTAACACATCATCTCCGCCACCTTGACGAAAGGTATGGACATGTATGGAGGAACATGGTTCTGCGGTGAGGGAAAATCGGCCTCACACACCAACCTTCGGAAGGTGTTCCAGGCTCCAGAGTCAGCGTCATCAGTCCTCCTCCCTAGAAGCTATAGAATTAGAATATTCTTGTTACTAGTTGCTTCTTGCTAATAGTAGTAAGGCCCTTGTTACTAGTAGCGATGCCAGGAGCCCCTAGTAGCTTCTTGTTACTAGTCAGCGTCATCAGTCCTCCCTTTTTCTGGACCTTTTTGCATCCGGTGGCCAGGCCTTGTGGCACACCGAATTTCGGGGCGGAATCACATTCAGCCGGCACTGTTGTTTTCAAACTGGGCACCGACCGTTTGCCGGGAATGAGGACGCTGGATTTTTAAGTGACAGAAGAACGCACACGGGAGAACACCCAAGGAAGGAGAGGTACAGTACACATTGCTTCGAACAAAGCTCCCCATCTGTAGGTGAGTTGCCCCGAAGCCTCCTCCTGTTTTTTCTCTTGTTTCGGACATATCACACATGTTGGCCAAGTTTGGCAAAAAATAATGAGTTCTACTAGGAGCAAAGGGCATCGCTACTAGGAGCAAAGACGCTACTAGGGGCTCCTGGCCTTACTTCTAGGAGCAATGTTCACTACTAGGAACAAAGGGCATTACTACAGGTGGTGGACTCCCTTGGCACGTTGGAAAGGTTCGGCCGTGGAAGATGCAGAGGCAGTCAAGCGGCGCTTGTCTGCGCTCGGCGGCGCTTGGCCGATGGCCGAGGAGGGATGGAGCTTGGTGCTCGGGAGTTTTGTATGAAACTCGGGAGAGGATGCTTTAACACTCCATTCCTCTTCTTTCCAGTTGGGCAGTTGCAATCAAGCCAAGAACCGTAACTCACAGAAGTCGGCTGCGTCTGCTATTTGAGAGAGACAAAAACAAGTCTCTTTGGTGAGAACCTGCAAAACAATTAAAACAACAAAAACAGATTCACACTGCCCAACAGGACGGCCATAACTGCTACGCTGTGGCACCCGAGGTCACACCGAGATGGGCTTCGTCAAGGGGAAGCCCTCACAACAGCCCAAAGAGATCTGCCTCGGATGTCGCGAACAGAAAGGCCAAGTGGCCCGTCCGCCCACCCCACCCAAAGCTCAATCGGAGCAAGGACGCTACTAGGGGCTCCTGGCATCGCTACTAGGCACAAGGACGCTAACTAGGGGCTCCTGGCCTTACTACTAGGAACAAGAAGCAATTAGAAACAAGAATTAGAATGAGAAATAATTAGAATTACTCTTATATAAATGTGGTCGGAACCTCACCAGGCCTTGTTAAGGCTTGCTTCATCAGTGGCAAACTATCTCTTGGTCAAGCCGCTTGGCCCCCATCTGGATTCCGTCATGTCAAATCCGGCGCACAAGTGAGGTTTCCATGGTCATCTGACAAAACTACTTTTTGGGGATACAATCTATACACCATGGAGTGTACCCTGAGACCTCGTCAAAAAGGAACACTATATAAGTAGCTCATCTCATATCCCACTCAAACTCTACATGAGATACCGCTACCCCATTCCAACCACCAAATCACAGCCCTTTTGTCCACGCTCCACCACCCATCACATCTTCGTTCAATACCCATCCCACAACCCCCGCAAATTCCCACAACCCCGCACCCAACCACACCCCACAGCCATGCCATTCATCTCCACTTCTTCAGTCCAACGACTCCCGGTTGGGGCAGCAATGGCCTTCCAGACCCACGGCCCTGCAGGCGGGGTAGTTCTCGCAGCGGGTGCCGTTCAAACCGGGAACCACGGCGGCCGGAACGCTCTGCTGGGCCTCGCGGGCGAAGCGGCGAAGCGAGACTCGTTTTTGGCGTGGCAAGCGGGGGAATTTGAGCACATCTGAATCCAATGACACTTCACACACCCTTAACGAAGAAAATCCAGGAGAGACTTTGGAAGGAAAAGGGAAGAAATAGAAACACCATGAAAACACATGTCACACACCTCCTCCAAAAATGAACCTCCCCTTCTTTTAAACCAAACCAACAGCTGTCTGCCGAGGCACTGCGGTGTCTGCCGGCAGCTTGGCCACCTGGCATGGCCGAGGGCCGAGGGCCACGCTTTCAAAACGAATCCCATTTGGCAGCCAACTTCATGAAACACATGTTACTCACATGTTAGAGGCCATCGCTAGTAGTAGGTTGGATGCCCATCGCTATTCGGTCGGAGGCCATCGCTAGTAGAGAGGAGTCCATCGCTATTAGGTTAGAGGCTGCTATTAGGTTGGATCCGATCGCTCTTAGGTTGGAGGCCATTGCTACTAGGTTGGAGGCCAACTCTATTCGGTTGGAGGCCATCGCTATTGGGCCATTTTGCTCATGTCACAACATCGTTGATTTTGGAGATGTCTTGTGTTGGTGAAGGAAGAAAACTCATCAAAATGAACAATTGAATTTATGGATACTTGGGAGATGACATATCTTCACCTGCCACATCCACGTTGAATTGGGTACGTGGGTATTGACCCAGACAGAGTTTTGGTGGGTGTTCGTTTGCGGTTGTGGGGGAAGTCGGTTCACGTGTTCCGTTTGGAGTCCAAAGCACTCGATCCTCATTCTCACTCCCGCATTCCAAGTGACCGACGGTGTTCTTTCTAAAAGAACTTCACTAAAATGCCCTTCAGTTAGACTCCATTCACATTCAATGTAGCATGTTAATCCTCAATCATGCAACCCAATTCCGGACGGAGCGCGGATATGCCATGAAACAGAAACGCCGATTCGTTCAGAGCGCTGCACTGCTTGTCAGTTCTCTGCACTGCGCCTGCAGCGCAGGATGACAGCTGGGAGGTCCCACGATGGTCTCTGAGAACTCATAGGGTGCTGCGTGGGGCTTTGACGTGGCATCTGTCAGGAGACCTCGACTCACGCAGCAGCGACACACCGACGGAAAGTCAGCCGTGCAGAGCATATGTCTCAAATGACAAAGGGTCACTCATAATGATCATTAGCAACTTGACCAAGACTGGGTGAGGATGGCCACTGAGAACCGCAGTTGGGTGCTGCATTCCTCAATCTATTGCATGGTGACACGTGTAATTGCACCTCCAACAGGTCCAGGGGCAGGGGAAGCTGCACCAGGACACATTGGACCCGTCGCAACCAAATCTTGCACCTCCGGATAAATGCTCGGCCTCTGAAACCGTAATTAGAACGCTACTAGGGGCTCCTGGCATCGCTACTAGGAGCAAGGACGCTAGTAGGGGCTCCTGGCATCGCTACTAGGAGCAAGGACGCTACTAGGGGC